AAAAAATAAGCAGCATAATCATTTAAACGTTGTTTTGTTAAATCATTAAATAAATTATTTAGAAATATTAATACGGATAAACGTCCATTATATTCTTCATAATCAAGTTGAAGAAGAAAAAAATCTAAATAAGATTTTAATTTGGTTTTTGTATGTTCATATGAAAAAAAATAGATATGAAATAGATCACGACATATTGTACGAACATGATCATAAGGTGATTGTACAATAAGAAATATTAAACGAGAACGTAGAAGATTATCAAGTTGTGTACGAAGATTTTTATCATTTGTTATTATTGTAACTGAATGACGCATTATAGAACGAAGAAGAAGAAATGCACTTGATTGACGATGAACATTTAATAAATCAGATTCAATATAAGTAAATAAACATTGATATTCATCGGATGTTAATGCAATATTATCATTTATTGAACGTTGAACAAATGTACCAAGAATTTTATAACAAAGTGTCAATAAATCATTCATATCATTTGAACCAGCAACGGATGAATACATTTTTAATAAATCAAATACCTATAAAACAAAGTTTATTAAACTTTATGATATAATCTTAATTTCAAATTACCTTTTTATACATATTTGTTATACGTTGTTTATCTAATGATGGTAATGAATATTCTAATAATGATGATAAATTTCTAAGTGAAGAAACTATAACATCTGTATATTGTGAATTTAAACATATTTCAATATGATTAACAAATGGATCAATCATAGATAAAAATGTTTGATCATCATTTTTATGTTTTTTAATAAGTTTATTGAGTAGATTAAGTGTCCATGAAATTAAACAATGAATATTTGTTTTTTTAACATGTATTATAGATTGTGCAACTCTTGCATGACCACGTTTTGGTTCTGATGGTATTAAATGATATTTACTACGTTCTTCTATCATTTTATTCGATGTACTTTTATTATTCGTTTGTTCATTTGAAGAATCTTCTTCTGTTTTTGTTAATAAATGATAAATAAATATAAATAAACTTTCAATTGATAAATGTGTATTGCTAATTAAACCAGTTTGAAAACGTTGTAAACATTTTTCACATTTTGATATTTGTCTTGAATCATGACTTAATGATAATTGTTGTCGTATTGGTTCAATACATGTTAAAAGTTCATCATTTGAATGTATTAAACGACCAAGTAATTCCATCACATTTGCTGTTTTATTTGTTTTTGCTTCAGGTATATTGGATGGTTTATAGGATGAATTTTCATGTTCATTTGCTTTTGATGATTCAGTTTTTTCTGAATTAAATAAATCATCAATAAATAAGTTTGTAAGAATTTTAACAGCTGAATCAATATTAAAATCATCTGTTAATGTTGATATATGAATAAGTATACTATGAACTGTATGTAATAAAACAAAATGTTGATAACCACGTTGTAAACCAGCTATTAATTCTTCAACTATAAATTTTAAATAACGTTTACCAAATACTGTTATACATTTACATAAACAATCACGTGCTTGATCACGTATTGAATATATACGTGAACGAAGTAATGTTATTAAATGAAGAAGAATTGTTGAGATATGTTGTTCAATAAATTCATGAGGAAATATAACAATTAATTTTGTTGCTATTAATGAACATGTTACAGTTAAAAGAATAGCTTGTTGACGTTGATCATCAATACTAGCATTTTTAGTTGCTATACCAGTAGTTGTTAAACCATCAATAGAAAATGAATTTTGACTTAAGAGATCAAGAATCATAGGTAATAAATGTTTTTGTACTGCGCGACTAATACGCTCACTTTCTGCTTTGTTCTCATCATAATCTAATTGAAAATGAAATGCATCAATAATTGCTGATATTGTTTTAGTTAAACATCGTTTTTGTGATAAATTTAATGTTCGTTTCGTAGTTGTTAATTGACGAAAATAAGAAACAAACAATTGATTATATTTTAACCATGATAATGTTTGACATAATGTTGTTAAACATACAAAAACAATTTCATCATTAATATCTTGTGTTTCATCATTAATAACATCATTTATAAATGAACAAACAATTGGTAAGAGATAATTATTTATTGTTGTTACATGAAATAATTGTTGATCATGTGTTAACTTGAAACGTTTTAATGCTCTTAAACGTCGATGATTTTGTACATGAGTTATATTATGAAAAAAAATCAATTTCAATATCAGTATAATTACGTAAACGTTTTAGATCATTTAAATCTTCATTATCATTATTAATATCAGTAATAAATGCTAAATGACGAATAAATTCATGTCGAATATTAATTGATATTGCTGGTTGTTTTAATATTGTGCGAATTTCAGTAAGAAAAAAGGTTTGATACGATGGAATTTGTTTAAGAAATAATTGAATACATTGTGAAGCATATTCACGTAATGATAAATCATTTACTGAATAATGTAATTCATATAAACAATGATAAAATAAACATAAATATTCATCTTTATCTTTATCAATATCTTGTACATTTACTAATTCTTTTGCTAAATCTTTATAACTATTTAAACGACGTTCATAATCAGCTTCATCAATTGCTTCTGTATTCCAAGAATTAAGTTCAATTAATTGTTTTAAATACCAAATTGTACTAAAACATAAAAAAACAAGAGTCAGTATAAACATTATATATATATATATCTAAAAATGATTCGTATACCGTAATTTAGTTTGTGTTGATTGATTAATAAAGATTTGAAAAAGATTTATTAATTCAATTCTTTGATCACGTTGAATTATTTTATAAAATAATATTGATAATAATTGAAGATATTTTTCTATTAGATCTTTAATATTAATTAATAAATTTTGAAGTACTTTAAGTATTGATATATTTAAATTTTGATTAGATGTTTTATTAGAAAGTTTTTTCTTCTTTTTTGAAAGTATATTTTGACGAAGTAAACGAAAAAATATCGTACATAATTGTTCGATTTTATCATTTTTTAATTGTTTACCACTGAGAATAAGAAGAATATCAAATTCTTTTGT